GTGTTCGCCGCTCGTGAGGTTGGCCAATCTCGCTCCACCCGATCTCCAGCCCGCGCAAGCCTCCGGAGACGCGGTCTTCCTCCGTGTCGAGGTGCCGCGCCGCTGTGCCGCGCCGGTGCGGGTCGGCGACCGCGATCGCATCTGAGGGGTGGAAGCACACGGTCAGGATAGGAACAAGGAAGAGCGGCAGCACCATCATTCCCCTCTCTCCTTCTCCGCCTCCCCATTTCAGCACCCACCGCCCAATCCTCTTCGTCCTCCGTATAGGTCCACGGAGAAGCGTGCTCAGAAAGCGCTACAGTCTAAACAGGGACACAATAACGTTCATGAAGAACACGATACAGTAGGGGGTCGACCAAAGAACCCTCCCACGAGAAACCCAACCCGAGACCCCAAGGCGTCCACTGACTTTTGGTGTGGGCGCATCACGCTTCCCGTAGCAAAACCAGCGAAGCCCAAGACACCCAGGAGGCAAGAGAAGGGCGTTCTTGGCATGGGCCTCCACTGTACGCTTCGCCGAGAGCCCACGACCCCATGGAGATACGCCCATCGAAGGCCACTCGAGCACAGTCTCGTCCACGAGCCTCTCTCTTGTGCCTGGCGCCGGCGCCTCGAAGCGGAGCGGCCCAGTCAGGCAGAGTCCTCCTCTCCCCTCCCTTCTCCTTGCTCCTGCGCTCGCGCGCTGTCGGCAGGGAGGGCCACAGCCATTGGAACGCAGGCCAGCCTCAAGAGGCGAAGTGGTTGCCGAGCGCTCATCCAGAGCGCCTGGCGATCCCAATCACAGGCGTTAGATCGTCACTTGTTGAGTTGAATAGCATCTGGGTGCCCCACCAATACTAAGGCTGCTCGTAACCCTCGTTCGTTCCAGCTGTACGATTATAACCCTCGAAAATCATCAGTCATTATCTGTCGGACACCCTTGCGACAGCCCTCAGGCTGCGGGGATCGACGGGCTTCAGCATCTGACCAGCTTTGACTCTCATCCTCGAAAATGCAATGTGAGCCGCTGCACTCCCCGTACCAGAGAAGCAGCGATAGGGGGAGGGACTGGCATAAGGAGGAAATCTAGACCTGGAATCGGCGATACATCTCTCATAGATCGGCTATCCGCCTCGAATCGTGAATCCGCATGTGCCTGGGCGGGGGTGGGCTATCGGGCCCCGTATCGGCGACGAATGGACGATTGGGGGTTGCGGCCCCGCAAAGGCCCCCGCATGCAGGCCGAATGCGGTGACAAAAAGCCTGAACGTTTTATTTTGGATGTCCCCTGAGATCCGACGTCAAGAAAAACATAGTAAACAATGACATTCTACCTTGCTCCTCCTATCCTCCTCCCCTTTCTCCACCTCCTGCCCCTTCTCTTCCTCCTCCTTCTCCTACTCTTCCTCCTCCTCCTCCTCCTCGTCCTCCTGCGCTTTCTGCTCCTCCTCCTCCTCCTCCTCGCCCTCGCCAACAAGATCGGCGGCACTGGCCGTAAGGCCTTCGCAGAACAGCATCGTGAACAATCGCAACTGGAATCCTGGATCCCGAGCTGGATCGATCCGCGAGGGCATCGGGGCATCGGACAGAGCGAAGCCGCCTGGTGCAAAATGTTCGCGACGCCCTGGTCCCAGTGTCTGAGAGTGGAGACGGACCCCGATGCAGTCAGCCTCCCAACCCCTGCAGGGGAGGAGGAGACAAAGAGATGATCGAGATACCGTGGAAGAAAGAACCACTTTTTCAGAATTCACGTAACGCCCATGACAGGCCCCACTCTCCCCCCCTCCCCTTGTTTACGTCATGATTCTCGCCGGCGCCGTGCGGGGATTAGCCATCCCTAACCTTTATCAGACGGCTCCGGCGCGAATCGTGTCGTGACCGGGCCCCTCCTCCTCTCCCCCCCCTCCCTGGTCACGCTCGTTACCGCCAGGGGATAAGATAACGATCTCAAGAGGGGGAGGGGGAAGGGGGGCCAGCGGAGGAGAAGGCGCGATCCCCAAGCGACATTCGAGACCTGGACCTAGACCCAGACATGCGGTGTCTTGATTATCCGCCACCGTGCCTCTGGGCACGGGGTGGGCGTGTCCTCAAGTCCCTTGCTTGGTCCCTGGAGCCTCAGCTCCCAATCCTAAGAAGTCGTTGGGGAGCCTGGACCTCAAGTTCCGAAAATTTGGGGGGGCTTCCCGCGCACGGTCCCCTGGGGCTCCCCCGCGACTTGTCGCATTTTTTTTTCGGGCCCAAGGGCCCGCAGACAGGCCCAGAGGGCCCAACGAGGCTCCCTAGACGGTCCAAGAGGGCCCCGTGTCACCGAAAGGTCGTTCCAAGACGCCCAAGATGGCCTCAAGATGGCCCAAGCGGCCTCCAAGACGCCCCAAGAGACCTCCAAGAGGCCTGTCAAAAGAGCCCCAAGAGAAAAGAATCATTGATTTTCCCTGAGTTGTTGAAAGATTTTGGCGCTCTCGCCTTTTTGGCTTTCCGACGCTCCAAGACGGCCCAAGAGGCCCCCAAGACGGCCCCAGTAGGGGCCCACGAGAGGGAACACGAACATCAAAATCTAGCTTACCACCCCAAAAGGCTCCCAGGAGGCCCCAAGAGGCGCCCAGGAGGCCCCCCAAGAGGCCCCAAAGAGGCTCCAAAACGGCCCCCAAGATGTCTCCAGACTGCCTCCAAGAGGTCCTCGAGAGGCCTCCCACGAGATCCCACCAAACATCCAATGGGCTTCATACCCAGAACCCAGGCAGGGTGGCGGGATGGGCCGAAGGACATTACAGTCAACCCGTATGGTAAGAATGCGTGATAAGGATGCAAGGGCGTTAGACGCCCATGTCGAAGCTCTTCGAGCGGGGCGCGGCCAACAAAGGTGACCAAGGATGGACCGAGGAGGCAAGGATGCAAGGGTACCCTCGGGAAGGCTGCCTATCCTTACCATGCCGGTCGACTGTAGATACTCAATACGTGGTCCCTGATGTCCCGACCCCATGCCCGGGACCCGTTTTTTCACCCGGATGAATTTTAAGCAGGGACCGACCGTCCTGGCATTCCTATAGTCCTACCACGAAATGTTCTTAGAACCCACAAATGTTCTCATAACAAAAACAACTGTCTTAGAACATAAAGCCGATGTGATAAACCAAGACAGACTCCGGCAAAGATGCTCTAAGAGTATTTCGTGGAAACCGCAAAAAAAGTTCTTAGAACATTGCTTGGTCGGGCAATTTTGAGGGGTGGAATGCGCCCGCCGCGCAGGACATCTGACGAATTCTGAAATCCGGAATTTTTCAAAATGGGTGTTGGAACTTGTCAAAATCGACCCCGGAATTTTTCAAAATCGATTCTGCTATTATTCAAAAAGTAGGCCGGGCATGTTCAACGACGTTCCGGGAGCTTTTCAAATTTACCCTTGGAGAATTTTCCAGAGTCGCGCGTGATTCGCCACGCCAGGTCTTTGGAAATCCGCTGAGGCGCGCGGTGCGAGGCGGCGGGCGATGGGACGGCGCGCCGCTTTCCCCCCCGCGCTCGGCAACGAGAAGGGGGATCATCAAGTGCCAAATAGCCCCCTACGGCCGACCACTCGATTGCGAATGGGTGACCGACCAGCGGCGCCAGCCAGAGTACACAATACTCGACGCAAAGTGGACCCCGAGCGAAAGTTGTTAGAAATCCCGGAATCCCTGAACGCGGCAGCTGCGACTCGCGGTCTCCCCAAGAGCAACGCAGCATACAGCTTGGCATCTCCGAGGGCGCTCCTGGGCGCGAAAAATGCACCGCGCACATCGCGCAAAGAACCTGCGCGACGGAATGCGCTCGACCATTCGTCCCTGTAGCCCGCGCGGAAGAACAGGAAAACCTGGAAATCTTGAAAACTATCAATATCAATACTTCATGCTCCTCTGATTTTGGGGTATTTGTGGTGTATGTTATATTTTTCGTCGGAAATCACATGAGAGGAGGAGGAGGCGGCGCGACCCCCGAGCGGCACGGGAGACTCCCCGCCCTCCGGCCCGCCCAGCCGCGCCTGGGCGCCCGCGGCCCGGCAGCCGCGCCGGGGGGTCGGCCGCGGCGACCCTCCCCGCCTCGAGCACCAGGCCGGGTACGGCCGCGGCCGCCGGGACGGCGCCCCCCCGCGCGCGCGGGCGGGCCCCGACCAGCGACGCTCCGGTCGTCATCGACGACGACGCCGACGGCGACGACGACGACGACGGCACGGCGGCGACGACGACGACGACGACCACGACAACGGCGACGACGACGACGACGACGACGACGACGACGGCGACGACGCCGGCGACGCCGGCGACGACGGCGACGTCGGCGACGACGACGGCGACGACGCCGACGTCATTGACGACGACGACGGCGACGACGTCGGCGACGACGTCGGCGACGACGACGGCGACGACGCCGAAAACCACGGCGGCATCGAGCACGCCGACGGCGACGACGCCGGCGGCCGAGGGCTGCGACGGCGGCGGCGGCGGTAATTAGGGCCAGCTCCTCCCTCGGCGTCCCTCCTCGTCTTCCTCGGACGGAATTGGGAGAGGAGGGAGGTGAAGGAAAAGCAGGCGGAATAATTATTTGACAGCTTGGTTCGGGGATCTACCGACCTGGGTCAATCCAAACTCAGGTCGGTCAGGCCTTGCAAAATCCTGCAAGACCCTACAGAATCCTACAAAATCCTACAAGATCCTGCAAGATCCAGACCCGGCCGGTGCACCCCTGGCCCTGCAGGCTCCCACAAAATCTGGCACTCTGGCTGACCCCCAGCTCTTGAGCCCCGACGGGTCACTTGAACAAAAAAAACTCCAAAGAGCTCTGTATCCGTATGACAAGACCCCTGACAGACTCGGGGGACTCTCGCGTGGAGACCTCCCCCCCTTGTGTTCCGCGAGGGCCCCTCCGCTCTTTCCTCCGCCGCGCAATTTTCGCCCAGGGATCGTTCTCTAATCCGATGTCTTGATGGTGTCGATCAGAAGTCCCCAAACATCGCCACTGGCTCCCCAAGGCTTATGTTGCCCCCATCGCACTGGAGGACCACGTCCGACAAATATTTTCGAGCACTCAGGAAAGTATCGAAACAAATGACTCGAAGGGAAGCGCTCCCCCTCCTTGCCTGGGCCCTCCTCCGCAAGCGCGCCAGCCGATGCGAAATTGAGCAGCGTCGT